CAAATTTCACCTCCAAGTCCCACTGTTCAACCTTCTCTAGTCTTGGAATAATCCCTACTCCTCTCTTGAGTCCCACCTGTTAGATCGCTTACATAGGATACATTGTGGAAATGAACTCTTCCACCTCCGAGGCAAAGCTCTTAATGTTAAATGTTCCCAGATGGGGAATCCACAGTCCAGAAGCAGTGGGTTAGCATTATAAGGGTCCTAATCAGAAATCTAGTCCTAGACATGGTTCCCATTCAAACAATTTCAGTACTGGTATCTAAGGCTGCACCAGAAAGTTTACTAGCATGAGGAATGTTCGAAATACATAGTAGGGGGAAGGCGAAGAGGGTAAATGGGGTCAAATATACAGTAACAGGAGACTAGACTTTGGGTGGTGAGCATACAATGGAATATACAGATATATTATGAAGTTGTACACCTGAAATTCTTATAATGTTATTAGCCAATGTTACCCCAATAAATTTAATTTTTCTTTATTTTATTTTTTCCATCACCACTTATCCCTATACCCTTTCACTTGTACCCAACCCCCTCTCCCCTACAATCACCACTGTTGTCTATGTCCATGAGTTTTCTTTTTTTCCCCCTTTTTTGCTCAATCTCTCCACCCCACTTAGCCCCCCTGCCCCCAATAGTTGTCAGCCTGTCTCTATGCGTCTGTCTCTATGTTGCTTGTTAGTTCAGTTTGTTCAACTGATTCCACATATGAGTGAAATCATAGGGTACCTATCTTTCTCTGACTGGTTTATTTCACTTAACATAATGTTTTCCAGGTCCATCCACGCTGTTGCAAAAGGTAAAATTTCCTTTTTTTTTCCTGGCCGAGTAGTATTCCATTGTGTAAATGTACCATAGCTGTTTTATCCACTCATCTACAGATGGACACTTGGGCTGCTTTCAAATCTTGGCTATTGAAAATAATGCTGCTATGAACATAGGGATGCACATATTCTTTCAAATTTATAAAATGCTAGTAACCAATGTTACCCCACTAAATTCAATTTTTTAAAAAAGAAAGAATTTACCAATGAAAGGAGCAGTGTTCAACACGTGAAACAAAACAAATGTGGTCTAGGGACCAATGTTCCTTCACTATAAGTCTCCCCACAAACACTACTGGAGGCCCACTGTGTGTCAGGCAGGGGAGGCAGAGAGGAGAGACCCTTACCTCCAGAACAGGTAACTGACATAACACAGGTGCAGGGAAGTGTCCGGGGAGCGGACCTCGTAGATGGGAGACATGAACGTGGAGAGGAGGAGGAGCCGGGGTTAGGACGCGTGCCCTTACACCATAGTGAACTTCACCTCATAAATGTCTACATGGGTGACAGAATTTGGTCTGAGAGGGGTCACAGGAGGTCCCACGTGGGCTGCTGCTTAAGCAGAAGGAAGTGCCTGCCAGTCTGTGGAAAGTCACAGGTAGGAAATGTCAAGGCATTTCCAGGGAATGGCAGACAATCCTGTCACTTAGTAGCACAGGGGGACTATCAGGAGCTGAGGCTGCTGAAACAAGGTAGGGCCAGTGGACAGAGGGGCCTGGATGTCAGCTACAGAGTCCAGCCTTTGTGGCCATGAGGAATGGGGCACCACTGACGGGTCTGGAGCAACATTATGAAAAATACATTCCAAGGCACTGACTCCAGGGACGAACAAATCTTGAGGGGGAAGAGGAGCAGGCAAGGCAGGTAAACCACAGGCTCCTGAAAGAGACCACAGAAGGAAGGGCAACAGCCTGAGCTCCTTCAATAACTTCCTGATAAAGTCCAGACTGCACACGCGGCACCCAGTGGCATCTGTGACCTGGCCTCTGTCTATCTCGTGTCGTCCCCCTCCCCTCATTCAACCTCCCAGCTAAGCTGAATTCCTCTCCCTCTCAAACCCAGGTCCTCATGCGTGTTCTTCTCTCCACCCAGCTGTCCCCAGTGTCTCCCAGTGCCTCTGGGTGTTGACGCACCCTCTAAAACAAGGAAGTCATCATCCATGGAAGGAAACAAAGTAACGACAACCACAACAGCATGGACTGGGCATCCATCTGGACCGAGCATGTGCATGTTGGGTGTTCCGCATCCATCATCCCTTCCCCCAACCTCCCGGGCCCGTAGTCCAGAAAGTAAAACTAAGGCTCAGAAAATAAACTAAGGGAAATAATTTTCCCAAATGGAGCAAACTGCATTTTGAACTCAAATCCATCCGATTCCAAACCTAGGCTCCTTCCATGATGCCAACCCACTAGCTTGACTCAGAAATAACAACAAAAGGGAAGCAATTCATGACAATACAAGCTGACACAGAGTTTCATGTACATCTATTTGATTCAGATCCTGCCTAGAAACAAGTTTACTATATGAAACAAAGGACCTGGACACTAAAAAAAAAAAAAAAGTTTCTTTTACCCCCTTGGGACCAATAGCAAGAACATGAGCAAGGAAAACGATACGGGGTCCACCAAACACCAAGGCAGGTGACGGCCAGACCTAGAAAGGCGCTGGGCTGAGCGCATCCCCAGCCACACACAGGCTCCCAGCACACACCATTTTTGACTGTCATGACTTGGGGCAGCAGGTGCCACTGGCCTCTCATGGGAAGGGTCCAACGAGGTGGCTAACCGCTCCACATTGCATAGGACGGCTCCCCCGCAATCATCATTTGGTCTCAAATGTCAGCAGTGCTGAGGTTTAGCAACCCTGCTGTAGCCCAACCTGCAAGGGATGCGGTGATCAGAGAACATAAAAGCTTTCTTCTGAACTTCCTGGTTTCTACTCATGCCATTTACCTTCTTTTAATTACAATTTGGACCAATCTGGTGGCAGTGTTTACTTGCCACCTCCCCTAACCCCCAAGAAAGGAAATATTCAGTGAGGAGTGTCCAGGGCCTCTCAGACCTCTAGTTTAGTCCAAATAAGACTTTCAGCAGACAGCAGTGACCTTCACCAGGGACACAGGATAATGCCCGTCATATGTGGGCCACCCACCAGGACTCATCATTTCCCCTCTAAATCCTAGGACTCCCAACTGCCCACCCCGCTTGCAAGATAATGACACACAGAAAGATGAGGGCATCAAAGGGTGCTCCGTAGCACCAGATAGATGGATAGACAGACAGACAGAGGGAGGGAGAAACACACAGATTTTTCAGGATGGCAAAGACTGAGTCTCTGGAGCTCCGAGGGTGTCCATCTGAGTTTTGTGCCTTTTTTGACAAGGGCAAGCTGGCTTCAACACTGCCACGCCCTGAGCTGCACCCTGTTATGGGGAGTGTCATGGAGAATACTTAGAGGATTTCACCTCCCAGGACTCTAGAGCATTGGCAGGGATCCAGCAGCCGGACCTCGCTGGATAACAGAAGCTGGGAAGTCGGTGAAAACAAAGTCCCCTTTGTCTAGAAGTAGCAGAACACAGCAGGCTGAGCCTGTCCTTGACAATGACATCTCTGGTGGCTCCGAAACATGCTGGGGCCTGACCCTGTTCAGCTTCTCGTACACCCTCACAAGTGCCTCTGTTCAGCCAAAAAGCTCGGCCTGTTTTTGCCTCTGGCAAACAATTCTGTATTCTCTGAAATGCCTGAACTGTGACTCTAAAAGAAAACAAAACAAATCACCATTTTTTTCTGTCTGTCGGAAGAGATCCAATGGTGGTATATTTCTAAACAGTTGATCCCAGACACTCATAAATTCCACTCTGACATCTCAAATTCCACTACGACATCAAGCTTGCCAAATTTTCTCATCTCTGAAATGCACACAATACCACCTACCTTACAAGTCCTACTAATACCCCTAAGAAGGGCTTATTTAAATAAAAACACAAATGACCAGCGAGTGAAAATCCAATTTGTATCCAAAGTTTCATGAAAATATTTGGTGGGTAGAAGAACAAAAGCCAGGAACTTGTCCCATCCCAGACAAACATGGGCCTTCTGTGTGCTGCAATGACAGAGCCAGAGTGGGAAAGAAGGGACAGGTCACCCTTGGAAACAGATACAAATTGAGATAAATTCGCTACAATTCTAAGCAAGATGGGCAACTCTCAAAATAGAAACTTATCGGGACAGGCCATGTACAGTTTGCAAATGCAAACTGGTTCATTGGTGAGCTGGGTATTCAGAACTTGCAATGCGAGCATTATCTTATGGCCCAAGCAAGCCCAGAAAAGCTGACTGAACGTACAAATATCCAGCATACTAGACCCTTAGAGGGAAAACAGTAAAAGGCAAGGTTGTGATAACATTTTTAAAAATATATCAAAATGCTTAGAAAAAACAAATACACAGCTACAACTAGCCTAGACCGGAACCCTGAACCACAAGCCGGAGCCTGGACTCCTGCGATCCAAGTCATTACCGAAATGGGGGTCCTGGACAACTGAAGGGGAGAATGAGAAGAGCCCCAGCTTCAAGGGGTTCTGCTGGGAGGGAAAAAGGAGCCTAGCATCTCACATCTGGAAGAGGAGGCTCTGGTACCTCCCCATGACATCCTCTAATGAACAGATGTGCTGTCGCATCTAAGAGGGCGCAGGGTACATGACAGAACAGCAGCCACACTGCCTGCTACCTAAACAGGCACAATGAGCTGCAGCCGAAGACAAAGGAGTCCACAGGCACCAAAAAACCAGGAGGAGAGGGGGAGGGGGTTCCCAGCGTGCTCTGCGGCAGTGTGGACAGGGCAATGGGAGGCAGGAAGGAAGAATTTCCTACAGTTGGTTTAGGGATGTCTGGGGCCACATTTAATTCGGATACAGCTAGGTCAGGAAGAAAGTTCCTAAACTTTAAGAGTGAAATTTATATCAAGTGATCAGGTTACATAATGTGATTTCTGGTGTCTTCAAAAGAGAACAGGGACAGGAAGATAAAGACCACGGGGCGTGCCTTTTACAACAGGAAAGATAATTCATTGTTGATGAATACTATACCTGGGTCAATGCCAACCCCAAAGTGATGCAAACTACTGAAACCAGGCTTGAAAATCGAGGGTTATCATTTATCCACTTTGTACCTTCTTTAATCCTCCAAACAAAGTGCCCATCGCCAGGTCAAACTCTTGGTCCAACTGCTCTTCATGTTCTGACAAGAAAAAACAGTGTCCGTTAGTCACCAATCTAAATAGAACCGGGTGGGCTCAGTAGCAGAGGCACTAAAAGAAACTGGAATCCGTCCTGGAAAAGCTGCCTGTGGACTGAGCGCCGTGATCACGCGGTGATCTTCCTTCCAGTTTCTGTGAGCGAAGTTCCTTAATGCGGGGCGGGGCTGCTGGAAACCCCGCCCCCTCGTACTAAGGCTCAGGAAAGGAGAAGTATCCAGAGAGAAAGCCTCTAGCACAGGGACCCACAGGAGGGATTAATGCAAATCCCCACTTGTACAGGTGGTAAAATATTTTTTTCAATCCTGGGGATCTGTTTTTGTTGGTTTTAGAGAGAGAGGAAGGGAGAGAGAGAGAGAAACTATGTGAGGAAAAAAACATCAATCAGTTGTCTCTCACATGCTCCCCAACTGAGATCAAACCCCAAAACCTGGGTATATGCCCTAATCGGGAATCGAACCCGTGATCATTGGGTACACTGGACAACACTCTAACCACCTGAGCCACACCCGCCAGGGCAAAAAGGTTTTTAAACAGTGATGGTGATTATAGCCTCATGATATGATATATTGCTAACAAGATTATAAGATGGAATCATAATAGTAATAAGTATGTTTATAAGGCAAACAATACAATTGGTTTAAAACAAAAGATATAATAAAATCCTCATTCAAATAGTTTTTACTTTATTTTTTAATCCTCACCCAAGGACATTTTTGCATTCATCCTGAGATAGAGTGGGAGGGAGAGAGGAAGAGAGAGAAACATCGATGTGAGAGAGACACATCTAGTGGTCGCCACCCATGCGACCCCAACTGGGGCAGGGTACAAACTGCAACTGAAGTACGTGCCCTTAGTGGACACCAAACCCAGGACTCTCTGGCCTGTGGGCCAAAGCTCTAACCGCTGAGCCAAACTGGCCTGGGCCATTCAAATATTTTTTGAGGCTGCACAATAACCAGGCATGGTGTGAGACACCAGGAATGAAACAGGACAACAGTGCATGTCTTTGCCCTCCTGGGCCTTACTGTACACTAGGTCAGACTGACAAACACATAATAAAAAATTACAATAGTGCCGATAAGAGCCAAGATACAGTAATAGGAAGCTACAGAGGTTGATTTTGGGGTGTCTATATGATTTACATAGATGGTGCTCAGGAGTTCCCTAAGTTGACAATAAAGACTCAGGAGTCCTCAATAAAAGGGTCGTGATGAAGCCTCCAGAAGGGCTGGCATCACCCAGAAAGGCACAGAGTGCATGGACAAGAACAAGGGAACCACAGCTTATGGACCAAGAAAAGTACAAAAACCACAGAAGACCAAAAGCAGCTACCCAAAGAGATCAGAGGAAAACCAGAAGAGAGTGTTACTAAAACGTACTTATGAAATGATGCTGGTCTAGAGTAGAACCACGGGACAGATTCCCACACACTAGATGCAGACAGCAGCTTCAACTCAAACCAAAGGCAACACGGCCCCAGGAACGACAGAAAAGGGAGAGGTACCTAGCCCTGTGCCAGGGTACTGCAGGGCACAGCTCTGCCACACACAGGGCACTCCACGTGGTCCAGGGGGTGGGCTGGAGGGGTGTGGTTGTGTACATGCTGTGTTGTGCACAGACTTTGTGTACAAAGAAGTAACAGGAGCCTCCTCATTCATTAATGCAAATTGGGTGGACAACTTGCCTGTTTCTTGCCTTTTCGGTTTTAGCTTCACATTCATACACAGAGCAACCTCCTGATACATCAGAATTATAAAGGATTGAAACAAGGCAGAGCCCGCCTGTGTGGCTCAGTTGGTTGAGCGTCCTCGGATGCGCCAAGAGGTCACTGGCTCGATTCCCAGTCAGGACACATGCCCGGGTTGCAGGCTTGATCCCTGGTGGAGGGCAGGCAGGAGGCAGCCGATGGATGTTTCTCTCTCTCATGGATGTTTCTCTCTCTCTCTCTCTCTCTCCTTCTTCTCCTCTCTCTAAAAAAAAAAAAAAAAAATCAATAAAAATTAAAATATTTTTTTTTAAAAGAGAAACAAGCAGAAACTTTAGTTATTTTTTCCTCCATTTTAAAAGGAGTACATTCAAAATCTTGGAAGTTGACACGCTAAGCACCAGACTTCCTGAAGCTGGAGCACACCTCCCTCTAGTGGGAAAAAGGAGTCCTGTGCAGACAGAATTACAACCATACCTTGTCCAGCGGGGGCACCGTCCAACTGAAATAATCTCTCTCTCTCTCACACACACACACATTTATGATTTTAAAGTTCTGTCAACGTAAGAAACATTCAAACCTATAATTTTTGTGAGTTTATTTGAGCCAAACTGTAGACAATCGCTGGGAAGCAAAATCTCAACAGATTGAGAGGATGCTCCATAGAATGGCAGTTTTGCACCTTATCTTATACATTGTAGTCAAGAGTGAGGAGACAGTGGGTTACATGAAATCCATTGGTGATAGATTAGGGAGGTGGATAAAGCAAAGCAGGGAAACCTCTGGATTGGGTGGAAAGTAAAATGATAGAACCCGGCTGGTGTGGCTCAGTGGTTGAGCATCAACCCATGCGCCAAGAAGTCACCAGTTTGATTCCCAGTCAGGGCACATGCCCAGGTTGTGGGCCAAATCCCTAGTGGGGGGTGTGCTGGAGGCAGCCAGTCGATGTTCTCTCTCATGGATGTTTTCATCTTTCTCTCCCTCTCCCTTCTCTCTCTAAAATTAATAAAGAAAAAAAAGTAAAATGATAGACACATACATCTGTTACATGGGTGGGTATAGGATAGTTAACAGTCAACGGTTAACAAAATAACAATAACAATGAGCAGATTGGTGGTCTCTGCCCAGGTGCATTGGTTGCATCCTGAGGGGTCTGCAAACGGGGGAGTTACCCTGACATTCCGAAGGTATGTTATCATAGATGCAGAAAGACAATAGATGGGCTCAGTTAAGGTCAAGATTGACCTGAGCAAAGGGACATAGCAGCTTAGGACATGACTACCTGCCATAAATTGCTTTTAGTTTGAAAGTTTTAATTTCAGACCATCCTTTGTGGTCACCTTAGGTCTCTGAGTTTGCAAGGCCGCCACGCAGGCCTCCCCTGAGCTCAGGTTGCCTACCACAGGGCCCCATTTCACCCACAGTTTCTAGTAGCCACTTTTCCCAAAGTTCTTACAAAGGGAAATTAATTATAGTGTATTTTATTTATCTCAACATACCCTACACAGTATTCAAACATGGAATCAATATTAAACAATTGTGGATGAGTTACTTTACATTCCTTTTTCTCCCAAATTGATTCTTCGAAATCCAGCAAGCATGTCATCCTGACAGCACATCTCAAGGCGAAGTGGCCACATTTCAAGTGCTCTCCAGCCTCGCGTCAAACGACCAGTGATGCACAGCCCAGCTCTAGACCCAACCCCCCTCACATTTGGGGGAATTTCTACAAATCACTCTCATCTGATTTCTTGACACAAACAAATTCTCTATAACATACATGTTAAATTACAACCTAACTCCATTCACAACCCCTTCGGAAATCAGTGTCTTCAGTCAGGAAAACGCCTTGCTCCAGAATTCAGCTGACACCGGAGAATGGAGGCTGAGACGCGGGGCAGGAGCTCCTACCCCAGGAGCCCTCAGAACTTCGCTCACACCTCTGGTAGGGAGCCCTCGCTCTCACTCGGGGAGACCAGTGTTCAGGGGAACTCCTGCAGGACGCAGCGGATGGAGAGGCGCCTTCTCCGCCTGAGCACAGGCCGCCTCTAGGTGACCTGGTTCCATTTCCCAAAGCTCAGTGCTGCACTAAAGTGTCTGAGTTTAGACATGGAACCAGTTCTGCTGCTGAGCCTTCACTACTGAATCCGATGCGGAGTCTCTCTCTCCAACCCCACCCAACAAAAGGGTACATCAAAACCCCATTCGACCTACAGAGTAAGAGAATTTGCATTTTAATCACTCCCAATGGGCTCAAGTGTTAAACCATTTACTTAAACGCTCTAACTAACCTACCCCTTTCACCCTCAACACTGATGGGAAATCAGTTCTGGGGTGGTTAGGGGTAATTGGAGGGCAGTAATCAGTGAGAGGGGACATTACACTGTCACCTGCCCCCCAGGGATACAGCCCCTGCCAGGGAGTAGCCACCCAATCACGCTGAAGGCATCCTGCTGCTTCTGTGCATGTGAAAACTTCTAATCAGCTCCTACAGTTCTTATCTTTCTAGGAAGCCTGTGGGTACAGAGAACTGTGGTAGTAAGGGTAGAGAAAGGGAGCAGAAAAATGGGCTTCAAACGATGAGATAATTGAATGGTAAGCAACTCTCCAACATTCCTATAAAATATCATATAGAAGAGGATGATAAGGTGCTCGTTTTCCCACCGTATTATCGAGGTGTGGGGGCTCCTTCTCTCCTCCTGGCTCCCAACTGTCACTCAGGGAGTGAAAAAGTGATTTAAGAATCCCCCCAGTAAAAGTAAACCATATATGTAAATAGAATACAGTGATACCTCGGTTCTCGAACATAATTCGTTCCAGGAGGACGGTCGAGAACCGAATTGTTCGAGAACCGAAGCAATGAAACCCAATAGGAAAGCGTGACTCTCTCCACAAAGCGTGACTCTCTCTCTGCACTCACACTGATGACGCAAGCAAGGCGCGCTGGGCCGAATGAACGCCATTCGGCTCAACTCGGCTCATCTCGGAAGTTCGAGTTCCAAATATTTGTTCGGATTCCGAGACAAAAGTTTCTCGAATCTCCTGGTTGAATACCGATTTGGTCGAAAACCGAGGCGTTCGAGAACCGAGGTATCACTGTACAAGGCAATAAAGGACACAAACCTCCCTAACAGGGCTGCCCTTCTGCAACTCACGTGCGGAATTCTGGGTCTACTGGAGCAGACCAGCAGGCCTGCCCTTAGCATGGGAGGCCTGAGGGCTCCAGGGAGGGGTAGCAGAGCCCCCGCCCCACTGAGACAGAAACAGTCCAGCGGA